GTGCAACAGAATGCTCACTCCAGAAGGTCAATCAAGTTACTCCTCGGCTTAAAACCCACCAATCATTTTGTTTTGAAGGAAATTTGAGTCTAACTTCGTAGTGAGCTTTCATGGTCCTTACTGAAGAAGCCATGCCCTTTAACCTCAAATCCTATCCCTCACCTCAGTTCCTTGAACACCTTGTGCTGCCTTTCACCACTAGCTCATGACACATGTAAATCCTACCCTTCACCCCACAAGATTCCCTTGGTCTCCTTGTCTGTTGATAACTTACTGCACAGGCTTCATGCATAGTAGAGAAGGAACACAAACATATTTTGGAGAAATGTTACATTAGGCAAAGAAAATTGGAAAAAAAAAGTATTAATTTTTAAATGTGCCTCTTTTCATCTGAATTCTTACTGTCCTCAGGTACTTTGAGCTGTCTCTTATGTTTACTGATCTTAGCGAAATAGTCTTTCCAAATAACCTGTGGTTAGTTATTTACACACCCCAAGATGGATTTACTGAGTTAACAAATATTATGGAGTGTTTATTATAAAATGGGCTGTGTTCTAGGCATGAGGAAATTATCCAAGAGCAAAACAAGAAAGCTGTCATCTCTGAACAAGTGTACATGAGAGCAAAGGAGACCAAAAATGAGAAATTAATTGATTATCTAAGATTATTTCTGATAGAAATCACTAGGAAGAAGAAGATAAAATAGGATTATGCAATGGAATGTTGTGGGGAAGATGTTCCCTGTAGCTCATGTGATTTAAATTGTTTTCTTTGAGGCTAACCCTGCAAAATAGCAAGTAGTCCTGCCTATAATAAAAAATAGAGGAAAATACTCCAGAAAGAAGGAACATTAAACACAAAGCCCATGAGGTAGAAATTAAGTTGATGAGTGTAAGAAGTAGGCAAAAGGCCAGAAACCCTGGAGCACAGTTCATAAGATGATTGGCAGGAGCAAGGTCAGAGAGCTTCTCCAGCAATGGGCTACACAATGACTTGCAGGCCTAGGAGGTGGTTCCTATTCTATTCCTCATGCAAGTAAAATTCAGTGGAAGCTTTTAGGTAAAGAAATGATAAGATCTCATTCAGAATTATATAAATAGGCTCTGTCAGCATTCAGAATAGATAAAGAACAGACATAGATGCAAGAATATGGGTGAGAGATGAAATCATCTTGCATTAATGATGTCAGCTCAGGTCAGTGAAGCACTAAAGTAAGAGCACATCAAAAACAACTTGTTACCATCTTGTCATATTTTTACTTTAATATTTATCTTCATTGGAACATAAAGCTGACACGCACTTGAAGGAATTTCAGAATTTGGAAGCACTTGAATCAATGAATGCATTAAATGGTAGGTGATTGCTTTAGTGGAGAAGAAAATGTCAAAAAACAGATCTGCAGGTGAAATAAGTTTTAATAACAATGATCATTTAATGGGGAACAGGAGCCAAAATGATTTCCCAAAATTCACCCCTCTTTGGATTTTAGAAATGACTGGACTTGGAGTCAGAAAGCTGTTAGAACCCTGTTTTCATCACTTTGACTAACAAATTGCCTTCTCTACGCCTCTAGGTTTGCTCATCTACTAAACAAACAACCCTATCATGTGAGTGGTAAGATCTGGACTAATATGAAAATAATCAATTCATGACTCTATAAGCTATAATAATATCATTTCTGACACTCACATTTCTTCAGTTTACTTCATAGACGGTGTTTTCATAGACTACTGGGGCTGAGAAATGTCTTCAACATGCAGAACTGTACTCATATACCTGTATCTGCTTACTTTATAGATGAGAGCTAAAACATAGAAGGAGACATGAACCAACTCTGAGCTTTTTATCCAGTTATTGGGAGTTACATGCTCCAAGTAAGGTCACATAACTCCTAGTTAAGCATTTTCTTCATTAATCCTACCAGACATCTTACAACTACAAGAAAGTACTGCCCAGAGAATATTTACAATATTTGTTATCTTCAGTCTTTGTTTCTCTTAAATGCTAGCATCTAACAAATTCTTCAACCTCTTCCCTTCACAAGTGGGAGAATTTCTCCATACAGATAATTTATAAAAGGGTATTTCATAGGACTATAATGAGTTGTACTTCATTCATAACATGTAGACCTTTAAATAGAACTTCTGATTCCAGGTCATTTAATAACCTTATTTACTTTGTTCTAGTACATAGAGTAGAGAACAACATAAACAAGAAATTTATTCTTGTTATTTTGATTTAAATGGAAAAAAAGGACAAAAGCATAATTTTATCAAGTATTTTTGGGAAAATGGAAATTTATATATCTTCAGAGGAGTGTTAGCAGATAGCCCAATCCAGTGAATATCTGTTTTACATAAGTCTTATTTGCCTTCTTTAAATTTTGATTTTTGTTTAAACACATTATCAGCACCCTCTTTGATCTACTATAATCTTTAAGTGAAGGATGCATAAATCTTTATGGTGCCACTGTGTATCCCTGAGAAATCTTTCTGATGACAGACATAAGAGAGATAGAGCTGTACCCTCTTAAGTAAATAAAGTATTTAAAACACCTTATCTTTCAAATAATTGGAAGCATAAATCAACATCAAAAGATTTCAAAGGATCAAAATCAAAATCAAAGGATTTCAAAGAAGTGGAAACAAGGTTGGAACTAAAAATTACACCAAGCTTAAAATGAAAATAAATGAATTTAGCTCAGGAGAAATTATTAGAAGAGTAGAAATTGTAGTCCACAGTATCTCAGTTTTGGGACAGGATTTCTATCTCTGTCCTCAAAGTTTGCCTTCCTCTCCACTCATGATTCATCAAAGCACCCCCACAGGACTTAATCAGAAAAGAGTCTTGAAATTACAGCCAAAATTTTAGCTTGACTTTTATAAGGAAAAGAGGAAAACTGCAAAGAAACAATGGAAGTAGGACATTTTTAAAAATACAAAATCCCATTCTCTTTATATTAATATCACATTAACATAAGAGTTGATAAAAATAAATTATCTTAGGGTTTATTTTAAAAAATAATTATATACTAATATAGTTTTAATGATCTGTGACTATTTTAAAATATATTTTATATGAGTGAACTTGAACATCTTTTCATATGATTATTATTTATAGCCACTGCCTATATTCATACTGAACTATGGTCTTGCTTTTTGAAAGACTCTTTGTTCAATGTAGCATGAAGCCTTTGACTATAATGTAAACTAAAAATGTTATCCCAAAAATAATAAATAAAATACGAATTTAAAAAAGAAAAAAACAGAAAAGAAACTTTAAATCAAATATATTTTTATTGAAAAATATATTTTTATTGAGAGTCAGTTTAATGAAATGGAATGAGTATATTTAACAAGTAGGGTTAAAATGGGTGTATGCAGTAACTAATGATCCTACTAACAACATTTTTACTTTTTAAACTTCTCAAATTTTTGTGGTTGCAACACACTTTCAAGTACCAGTGTTGTCATGGTACACATTAAAAATAAAAATACAAACAGATGCCTTACTTATAAATGTCTGGACTAAACAAGTATACAATAATTACTATACCTGTGCAGTAGATGCCTCAGAGTTTTATGAAAACACCCATAGTCTATTGCCCTTCTGCACAGTCCCCTCTAAAGAGAACTATTTCCGGTTCTGATTTAATTATTTATATCTTCATGAGATAGATATATTCCCTGATCCAGCAACACAGTCTAGTTGTGATATAAATTTTCTTTTGTATTTGTTCTCACCCAGTACCTGCAGTATATTTTCTGTGGCATACTCCATCTAGCATCCTGCCATTCTGTTCAATATCCTGACAACCAGTGACTGAAGGGCAGGACAGTTGTGGAAAAATTAAATTTCCACATTGATTGAACTTTGGTGATGGCTATCACGAATGTCTTCTCGAGTGCTGAGGCATGTTAGATGAGAGTTACCGCTCTGAACCTCTTTAAATAACTCTATCCACCTATGCACACATCAGAAAGGATTGCTTTGCTTGCCAATTGCCTGATCTTAAGATCTTGCCCACACTTCCTTTGTCAAACTCTAAAACTGAGATGACTTCTGGCCGCTATGTGAGTCCTTCAAAAATTTCATGGAAGAGTGAAATTAAAAGATAAATTTGTTTTGGTGCAAAAAAAGTTCATATGGTTCACACAAAATGAATATTGTGGAAAAACTATGCCTAGATTTTAAAAACTTTTTCACTAAAATAATCTTACCCTTTAAGTCCATTTTTCCACTACTATTTTGAAGGTTCCATGTGTCTAAACATGTTAGCAGTTTCCTTTGAGGAATCTAACCACTGTCTTCTACAAGAAATGATCGACCTATGTCTGGGGCAGGTATTTGTAGCAAGTATTGTAATGAGTAAACAAGTGCTCACATCCTATTTAGGAAATGTTACAACACCATTAAATCAATTGTAAAAATCAGTATTTTTTATTATTTTGCAATTGTTCTCACAGAATATAAAGAATAAGAAAGAATATTCATGTCAGTGTATATTTCTTCATGGGTTGTCTGGTATAATGTCCAGGTTAGCCCTAGAAAATTTAGCTTATATTTACAATCTAGATGATTATTTTAAGTTCTTGGAATGTTGTTGGCTCATGCCATGCTTCAATTTCGGCTGAAACTGAATCATAAAACATGGTCCTGCACTGATAAGTTTAACAGATTGCTATAGAAGGAGATGAGGGAATCGGGTTATAGGTGAAATCGAAGTAATAGTTAAGTAAATTTTTCTATGCATGTGGCAAGTTTTGTATAGCTTCATATTATCCTTTGCATCTTTTCTGATCTGAATTATCATGCATGATAGCCCTTGTAGCTCCAAAAACTTGAATATAAATTCTAACTTGCCTCTCCACCCACATCACTTCCACAGTTACAAGCACCTACCTCTGCCTTCCTTGTGCTCCTTCACTTAGGGTAAGAATCTGTTCCCTGCAATGTGCATCCTTCTGGTAACTTAAGTCTCCCCTTTTTCTGTTTTCAAGGATGGGAGGAACAGTTTTATTGGACACCAACTGGGAGGGGTAGTGGAAGTGCCAAACAGCAAAGACCAGCGGGTCAAGTCAGCCAGAGCCATTCAAATCACCTACTACCTCCAGACCTATGGCTCTGCCACCCAAGACCTTATAGGGGAGAAGTGGGAGAATGAGTTCTGTAAGCTTATGAGGAAGCTCCAGGAGGAGCACCAAGAACTCCAGCTCTACTCCTTAGCATCCTTTAGCCTCTGGAGAGACTTTCATAAGACCAGCATTCTGGCCAGAAGCAAGGTCCTGGTGAGCCTCGTGCTGATCCTGACCACAGCCACCCTGTCCAGCTCCATGAAGGACTGCTTGCGCAGTAAGCCCTTCCTGGGCCTCCTGGGGGTGCTTACAGTGTGCATCTCCATCATCACAGCAGCAGGGATCTTCTTCATCACGGATGGAAAGTACAACTCCACCCTGCTGGGAATCCCGTTCTTCGCCATGGGTAACTATCCCTCCTTGTGGTAATCGGATTCTTACCGGTTTGGGGCCAGGTAGTACATTTCTTGAATTCTCAGGTGGATATCTGTTTTAACTTTGTGTGTCTATGTGATTATGTAAAAGTTCACTTAGGATTGTGTCTGCTTTCACCGCTTACTGGCCTTCTTGAGAAAGTATGGGATGACTAAATTATCTTCCCATTTAGTTTAATGCTGTGAAGTATTTTTAAGTTACACGACACAGGCATTCTCTATTCAGATTTTTCAAAAAGTGTAGGTCAGGGATTATGCGAGACCAGGTGGATAAGATCCAAGACTTACTTCAAACAAAATTATTATGTAGTTCATATTCATGCCAAACTTAAGTTGATACTAGTGAAGAATAAATAACATGAGATGAAAATTCTGAGACTTGTTGGTATATCCTCATCTCAAAGAACTCCTTAAGTAAAATTCATTAATCCATCTCAAAAATTTTGTACAGAATATACTCCATTCCCCACCTCTACATAAACTAAAACCTTCTTATTGTCACTTAGGTGAATATTCCAATTTATTCTTTCTCTGGAAAAAATAATTAATGATCATATCCAGTCAATATTGTCCCTTTTTGTAAATTTTTCTCAGCCATCTATAAATGGTCTAGAAAATAGTAAGTGCGTGTGCGTGCGTGTGTGTGTGTGTGTGTGTGTGATTGTGTAAAAGAGAGGATAAAGTTTGAGAATAACAATGAGTGGGACCTCCGCAACAAGCTCATATGTTTTACCAGAAAAAGAGATGATGCTAGCGATACCTATGGTACTGAAAAAGAGTCTTTCAGGTGTGATGCATTTCCCTCTGTGTAGCAATTTACAGAATGAGCTGGAAACGGTCCTAGGTGTTGAGCAAGAATCTTCAGCTATAAAATAATTGTTTTTCACTCCACATGTTAAAATCAGCTCTAAGTTACAGCTTATTAATAAATTAAAAATATGTAAACATGAGATCAAAAAGTTTTCTAGGTGACTAAGACCCCTTGTTTTTTCATCTTAGCAAACACTTATGTGAATACCACCGCAAAGCAGGCTGCTAATATAGGTCTGGGAATAAAATTTAGTTTTCTGTGAACTCAACTTCATTGTAGAACTGTTAAGTTATTTCATCTCACTAAGCCTCAATTTCTTCTTGTATAAAGTGCAGATAACAATGATCCCATCTTCAAAGAGTTTTTTAATGTAACTGTATAACCAAAGCTAATAGCATATAGTAAATACTCAATAATCATCAGCAACTTTTAGTAGTTAACTTGGTATATTGAGTGCATTAGATTCAGTGATAAACAGGAAACAGCACTAGCCTTCTAGAAATTGAGTTTTCCTTGATTTTGCATTTCTTTTCTCAGTGCATATTCATATTGTGAATAAAAAGTGCTTCTCTTCTTTCCAAAGAACTATATGAATTTTTTGTCATCATTAACAATAATGAATCTATCTTTGAACCATTAATACTTGCTTTGTTTTATAGATTCAGTTTCATGACTTGAAACAAGATTTTTAAGAATCATAAAGCGTGATTTACAAATGACACGACTCACTCAAGGTTGAAAAATGAGATACCTTATGCCTACTATGGCTTTTTCTAAAATTGGTGGCAATGGGGCTGGTGTTGTGGCATAGCCTGTTAACCCACATCTGAAATATGCACATCTAATATGAGGGATGGTTTGAGTCCCAGCTGCTCTATTTCCAATCCAGCTCCCTGCTAACATGTCTGGGAAAGCAGTGGAAGATGGGGTGACTGTTTGGGCCCCTGCCGCCTACACTGGAGACCCAGAGTTCCAGGATCTTGACTTCATCCTGGCCCAGGTCCGGGTATTGCTGCTGGACGATCTATACAGGGGTTTCAGAAAGTTCATGGAAAATGGGAGGAATAAGTTGTGGAGTGTGGGGCAAGGGAGGGAACCAGAAGTTTAGTTTTGTCTCCTACATTAGATATACTCAGTAAGCAAGTATGTAAATCAGGTTCAGAGGTAAAATCTGTAAATTGGAGTGGAGGTAAACATTTCAGATTCAAGGCATAGCAAATACTGAAAGCTATGGAATCTGATAAGATTATATAGGAAGATGCTTGGGGATTGAACTAGTAGATAGAAGATTCTCTCTGTCCATCAAATAAGCTAATAAATCTTCCAAAAAAATTTTTAAAAACTAATTAGGTAATGGAAAGATTTATCAAGAAAAAGTAGAATTATATGTTCAATAGTATATATTGAATTATTTGTTCAAATAAGGAGAAAAACGGTCTCTTCTAATGCAGGATTATAACATAAAATATGACAGGCCAGGATGGTGCTTTTACTCCTTAAACCAGTAACAAGAACACCACAAGCCAGAGAGAGGGAAAAGTCCAGAACATGCAGCATACAATTTGCATCTCTCCCGGGGAACTTTCAAATCATGAATTTCAAGAAGACTGGTTAATTATTATTCTTCCATATTCCTAATATTCAAATTCTTAGACTATTTTTTAAAAACAACAAAAGACCTATATACATATATTATTGAAGACTTTTAATCCAGCAAGTGGGAATTCGTTTTATCATGTTTTATTTTAAAAATGATTATAGTAATATAGATGGCAAGACTGAGAACTGGTGAAATGCCAGTGGGTTAGAAAAACCAGTGTTTTCATCCCAGTCTTTCTACCAACCCAATGCGTTTTATTGAACAGTAACATCTTATTCTCTTTGTTCTAGTTCTTCATTCATGAAATAAGAATTTGGACTCTTTAGTCTTAAATTTTGAACACCATACAATGTTTTTTCATTCTTTCAGTGAAGTTAGAATTTCATCATTCCTTTATAAAAACCTTTAAGGTGTGTATTATCCTCAAAGCTTTAATTTCTAGTCTTCTCTGTCACCACCTTAAGTGTATGTGCGTGTGTGTATGTGTGTGTGTCTGAAAGATTGAGAGAAAGAGAAAGAGAGAGAGATGTGAAAATAGGAATAAAAAATCATATCCTGGCAGGTAGCATATTGTAAGGAACGTAGTAAGGCAGCATATGGTATTGAACATAAATAGAGCTTGGTACATATAAGGGGTCTTCAAAAAGTTCACTGAAAAATGGAATTAAAAGTTAAGTTTAGTTAGGTACAAAAAATTTTTTAAACTCATGCATAGTTTTTTCATGATATGCATTTTCCATGAACTTTCTGAAACCCCTTGTATAGATCGTCCAGTGATACATGGCACACTGAATTACAGGGTGAATTACTGGTTGCATAGTGTTAAGACTACATACTGGCCAGCCCCGTGGCTCACTTGGCTAATATTCCGCCTGCGGCGCCAGCACCCCTGGTTCTAGTCCCGGTTGGGGCGTCGGGTACTAGTCCTGGTTGCTTCTCTTCCAGTCCAGCTCTCTGTGGCCTGGGAGGGCAGTGGAGGATGGCCCAAGTGATCGGCGCAGCGCCAGCTGTAGTGGCCATTAGGGGAATGAACCAACAGAAGGAAGACCTTTCTCTCTGTCTCTCTCTCTGTCTCTCTTTCTCACTGTCTAACTCTGCCTGGTGACTGCATACCCAAATTTAGTTGTATAAAAAGGGGAGAAGCCCAACTCTTTAGATGAATGGCTATTTCTTTTTTAAGATGTGTACATTTATTTATTTATTTTCATCTAAATTTAAACTTATTTAAATTTAGTACATTTATTTATTTTCATCTACTTGAAAGAACAGAAAAAGAAAAAAACAGAGACAAATTTTCCATCTATTAGTTCAATCCCCAAATGCCCAAAATTACCAGCGCTGGGCTAGGTTGAAGCTTGGATCCAGGAACTTCAATCTAGTCTCCCAAATGGGTGGTAGGGGTCCAAGATCTTGAAATATCATGCACCGCCTCTCAGTATGCATTAGCAGGAAGCTGAATTGAAAACAAAGTAGCCAGGACACAAACTGGCTTTCTGATATGTGATGCAAGGGTCCCAAGTAGCAGTTTAACCTGCTATGCAACAACACCAGCTCCTGTAAGCTTCTATTTCTATACCCATCTTTTTAAAAGGATTCCTTTGATGAAGTGAATATTTATTCCATATGCATCAAGATTAAAACCATTCATTCTCAAAAGTTATCCCTGAGATTGGGAATGTGACTTCTGGTGTCTGTTTATTCAAACTAAGCAGGATCACTCACCTTATCTTTGACCACCTTTCTTATGTACTCATCAGCTTGTTCTTTTATATGGCCAGTCATCTACTTAATATTTCCAATGTCATTTTAGATGAGACTGTTTCATCAGTAAATTTGTATTTTTCAAACTATATATATCTGGATTTAAGTTTGCAAAAAGATGATTTTAGGAATATATAGTCTGCCTAGAAATAATTAAGAGAAAAATACAGAATTAGATAAGTATTTGAAAATACTAAAATCATTTCATTTAATTCTGGCCTAACATCCTTTTTCCGTCCAAGCCTAAAGCAATGATAATGCCACTAATTTAATTTATAACTCATTGTCAGCCCTTTTTTTCACTTCATTTGCTTTAAGTTGATATATTTTCTGTTTCTGGAAGAAATATGGGCTAATATTCCCCACAGATGCCAAGCTGGCCATTGTAATTGCAGATCTTCTGTGGATAGTTGCCAGGGACATTAGTAGCCTTGGTTCAGTATTTTTTCCTGTTTATTCTGAATATGTGTCATGAGCTAGGAGTCTCATTTAGTTAGCTTGACACCAGAGAACGCTCCCAGATTACGTGGTTTTTGCAGGTGACCTCAAGGTTTCAAGATACAGACTTTCTCTCATCATCTCCCAGTGAGATCCAAATTCATTTACTTATTAATGTATTCAGCTATTTATTGAGTTCTTACCATATAAAAGGAATGTGGCACTCTGGAGTAAAATACATTCAACAGAATGGATTAAGTCCTTAACTAGTGCATTTTACATTTTATACATAGAAAGATAAAGAATAGGGCAATTAAATCAATAAACTATATCATATTGTTGATAAGTGATATAAACAATAA